AAAAAAAAAAAGCAACTCCGGGTGCAGCAGCTGGTGTGGGACACAAGGTGTGTGTCCTGCTGCCATCGGGCTTTATCCCCGTCCCCACCGTTGTTCCAGCTGACCGCTGCCGTGGGCGCAATCTGGGGAGAAACCCCGTGCAAGAGGGAGTGCGAAGGCAGGGGAAGGTGCCTGCCTTGATGGTGGGTGTCCGCACGGATCCCCGTGCTCCTCGCTCGCAGCCCTGGAGAAAACACTGTCCCATCGCCTGGGCGAGGGGCTGGTGGAGGGCGAGCGTTCCTCTTCCCAGGGCGGTGACAAGGCCCCGGGCGGTTGGTCGAGGGTTCGGAAAGTTCTCGGCGAGCACCACGATCTTTGCACTGACACTCTCTTGCCACAGACCTGAAAAAAAAAACAAATTCAGCCTTACTGAGAAGGAAGGAGCTGGTGAAAAGCTGCTGTTGGGGCCTGGTTCAGTTTCAGAATGGTACATGGGGAACCTAAAATCAGCTATTCGGGGAAGTGCTGCCAAAAGCTCTAGTGCCATTTACAAAATCAAGTGTATTGTTCGTGCCTGAAGCGTTTTCCCACTGTTCAGCCTCCTGAGCCTCCCAGTGTCCCTGCGCGGCTCCAGCCAGGATTCCAGGTCTCGCAGGGACCTATTGAGACGAGGGGTAATGGGCATAAACTTGAACATAGGAAGTTCCATCTTAACATGAGAAGGAACTTCTTTACTTTGAGGGTAGTGGAGCACTGGAACAGGCTGCCCAGAGAGGTGGTGGAGTCTCCCACTCTGGAGACATTCAAAACCCGCCTGGACGCTGTCCTGTGCAACTGCTGGAGGTGCCCCTGCTCTGGCAGGGGGGTTGGACTAGATGATCTCCAGAGGTCCCTTCCAACCCTACCCATTCTGTGATTCTGTGAGACGGGAACCGCTTCCAATTCACGTGTTGTTTGCTGAGATGTGAATTCTTTTTATTAACTTGAGGCTGCATCTCTTGTTGTGTACTTTTAGGCTAAAATATCTCCTTCATGCTGGTGAGGTTTTGTAGCCCACACAAGTGGAGTCTCTTCTAATTAAAGAGCCTGCAAGGTGCCATCAAACAAGTAAAGCTCTTACCAATTTCACCTAGGTCTGGCTCGAAGACTTAACACTGCTTTGCTTTTTTCATTGCAGATTTTCATAAATAATGAATGGCATGATGCAGTCAGTAAGAAAACCTTCCCTTCTATCAATCCAGCAACAGGAGAAGTCATCTGCCAAGTTGCTGAAGGTGATAAGGTAAGCGTTCTCTTGACGAGATCGGTTTGTTTTCTGCATGAGCGGGTACACAGGGATTGCAGAAGAAGATGCTAACTCATCTCTCACCAAGGCAGCTCTGCCGAGTGCCGTGTTTGCAGTAGTGTCTGACCTGTACAAATACCACATCGAGTGCTGCTTGTGTTCTCCCTTGACTACTGCTTTCAACAAAAACCCTCTGGCTTTGCCTCTTACCAGTGGCAAGCCAGGACTGGAAAGGGTGGAGAGGAGTAGATGTGGGGAGGTTGGGGAGCAGCCATGGGTGGAGGTTGCTGGGGCAGGCAGGGATGAAGGCAGACAGCTTTGTGGTCCCGTGGGTGCTGTGCTGGCGGTGCGACCCAGAGTTACGGTAGTCGAAGAGATAAAAGGTCAGAGTTTACCTGAAGAGCCCCTTTCTGCTGTACACATTCAGCGGGAGACCGTCCCCAGCCTTAGGAAATTCAGAAAAAGAGTGCGACAGTGGGGAATAGAGTCACGTAATCATCCCATGCCTTATGCAAGGCCTTCCTAGGAGTCTGTGGCAGAGCTGAGGTGGCGTTTCCCAGCAATTTTGGGTTCTTCCTAGAGTCTGGAAGCTTGTCTGTATTCCCCAAGGGAGGGGTGAGTGAGGGAAACCCTTTGTTGTTTGCTTGTGCATGGTAGACTGGCTTGTCCTGGCGAGACCATTAAAGCAAGCCAGAGCAGAGAACCAGCTAGAAACAAGGCCTTGACAGGACAAAATGATGGATTAGAGGTATTTGATCAAGGGTAAAAAAACTCCTTTAGACTGTGCTGGTGAAATCAAATCCTGAAAAAGTGTCAAAAGCACACTTCTGGAGCTTTTTCCATGCCTTGTTCCAGGATGCAAATATTAACCCAGCAGATGACATTGTGGAAATAACTTGACAATATTTGCACTCCGCATAGCTGAAATAACAGAGAGTAAGTGCAGGCGGAGGCGGTGGCTGCGCGGCTGTTGCACCCATCTGTTTCGCTGCCATTTCTGCTCCCTCTTCCCTGCGGATGCAGACTGGGCGAGAAAGCTGCGGCCAGTCCTGCCACAGGGTTTGCGCTGAGGCTGGGCCGCTGTGCGGTGCTGCCCGGCTTGATGCTCATGGGGT